TTACAAACTGGCTAAATTAAACTCCAATGCCGTTAATAATCGAATTGCTTATGATGGTAAGTATATGGGTATTTAAATCAAAAATCTACTTTTAATGAAAAATTTTAGTCAATCTAATTAAACTTTATAACTTTGTTAATATTGAGAAAAGGTCGTATATCAATGATCATTATTATTTCAAAAAATGTTCTAATTTTTTGTTTTTTTCTTATCAAAAATAATGTCAAAATTTTTTTTCGGGAAAAGAGCTTTGGTCATTGATCACAAATATTTCTTTGTTAATATTGAGTTTTTTTGTGGAAAAAGGGGGGCGTTAAGTGCCGGTTCACACTTGGCAAATTTTGTCCGTCAACTTTTGAAATTGTAGTGAGAGAGAAGATATTGATTTTGGGTTGTTAATTTGCGTTCACTAATATATCTAGTTTTTATTTTTTTCGAAAAAAGAGCAATAATTTGCAATAATTAACAAATTAAGATTCTTATAATATCTATGACTATTGAAAATATTTGTCTTTTCTTTTAATTTAGGTCCCATTCTGGGTCAACGACACGTTCAAGTGGTATTATTGTCCCTTTGCACAGTTGTGAGTTTTATTGTCCGACTTAGTGTGAGTATATCAGTAGTAGCCATGACGAATGCAAAAGCAACAAATCCAGATTTTCCGGTAAGTAAAATAATGCGTTTTTTTAAATCCACCAATCCACCAAACAATTGTGAATAAACTCATATCTTCGTTATTTATGGACAGATTTTGCTTATAAATAAATAGGATACTTCTCGAAAGAATGTCTGTTTGAATTATTGAAGTTTTGGATTTCGGAGATATCTGGGGTCTTCAGAAAATTGATTTCAACAGCCCCACATTCGCAACGTTTTCTTACGTTCCGGAAAACGTTCAATCACTGAGCGAGCTCGAATCAGTATCAGTAACTATGCCAAATAGTGAAGCTTAAAGGGGGGGTTTTAGCGGATCTTAACAAAAATAAGTCTCCTGGACCAAATGACATGCCGGCATTATTCCCGAAGCAGTGCTTTCGACGCTAGCTCGTACATTAGTTGCCAAATATTGCCTATCAATTGAGAATATTTGCAAATTTTCATCTTTCTAGCCTCTGTCGTTTACACCTTATCGTGTCTACAACAGCCAGAGGGACGGATATGGCTAAATCGTCTTAGAATTTAATAAGAACCCAAAATTATATATATATATATACTTTTGTGGGTCTACGACCAATATTTTAAAGTCTTACAAATGGAATGACAAAATCAATATACCCCCAACCGAGGGCACTATAGTATTGGGACCCTCTACAAATTAAAAAAAAATAATTTTTATATTATGATTTTATAACATATAGTCACCTATAGGACTTTATAAGTGTATGTAATGCTGAAATACATATGTACACAAATCCTTGGTTTCCTTTGGCAGTGTTCTTTAGGTACTATCTCAAATGAAAACATTCAGACTTCAACTCCTGACCATTAATGTCTTCGTTATAGTTTTCTGAGTCGATTTAGCTATGTCCGTCCGTCCGTCTGTCTGTCTATCCGTGTAAACCTTGTAATCAAACTATAGGTCACAATTTAGTGAAATTTGACCCAAACTTTTCCTTTTGAAACAGACAGATACACAGACAGACACACAGACAGACATTTCTACAGGAAGTTTAATCGAATGTCCACAAACACTACTACCTCTATCATACTTCCCACAAACCTATTTTCCCAGTTCGAACACAATGCATTGTACAAGGCATAGCCGAATAATAACACTCTTAAACATCAAAAACTCATCCTATTTTTCATTTACATTTCAGGAATACAAATGGAGTGAAATGGAGAAGTCCTACGTACTGTCCAGTTTCTTGTCGGTTACTTTATAACCCAATTTCCAGGAGGCTTAATATGCAATCGTTTTGGTGTTAAAAAAGTACTGTTTTTATCATTTTTTGGCTCTTCTGTGCTTAGCATACTGGTTCCACTCACCATAGACTGGGGCGGTTGGCAGATATATTGTGCTATACGTTTAGTCCAGGGTCTATTACAGGGTCCACTTTTCCCCTGTTTACTTCAACATTTAGCTGTTTGGTGTCCAACTAATGAACGTAATCGTTTGGGAGCTATTACCTATACAGCTATTGATATTGGTATAGTGTTGGGCATTTATACGAGTAGTATTATAGCGGCTTCGTCAATGGGTTGGCCCGGTATTTCGTATGTGTCATGTGCTCTTGGTTTAATTCTAACTGTGCCATGGCTTATATTTGCCTCTAATTCACCAAATACATGTAGATTTATATCACAAGCTGAAATAAATTATATAACGAGGCGAAAACTGCTTTAATGGAACAAGATGTTAATGCTGTATACGAAACAATACCAGTACCTTGGAAAGCTATTTTAGGTTCGGTGCCATTTTGGGCATTATTAATAACCAGAGCCGGCTGTGCCTGGGGCAATGCAACGATACAGACGGAAATTCCTTCTTATATGAATTCAGTCTTAGACATGGATATAAAAGGTAATGCCTTATTTTATGCTTTACCCTTCCTGACACAGTGGATTATGTCAAACGTTTATATAATTTTGGAAAATATTCTTATGAAACGACGTCTTTTAACACTTAATGCGCTGAGAAAAACTTTCAATTCCCTGGCTTTCTGGATACCAGCTGGTGGTCTCTTATTACTGGGATTTCTGGACAAAGATCAGAAAATCTTTGGCATTATTTTGATGATCTGCAGTTTAGGTATTTTTACGGGCGCTACTATAGGTAGCGCTCTCAATGCTATTGATTTGTCTCCCAACCATGTGGGTATTTTGATGGGTATTATTAATACCACTTCCAATATAGTGTCCTTTGTAGTGCCCCTGTTTGTGGGTTCTCATTGTTGAGGATGTGGTAAGTGAATGCAATTCAATGATTTAAAATATACATATGTAACTAAATTCAATTTAAATTTATTATAATTTTCAGACTAATCGGAACGAATGGCAAACTGTGTTTAGCATTTCAGCCGCCATTTTTGGTTTAACAAATCTATTATATATTATCTACGGTTCGACGAACATACAGCCATGGGATCATGCAAATTATCACCTATTAAAAGAAAAGGTTTAAATATTAAGAAGTAGTTTAAGATTTTAGATGAAATTTGTATATAATTTGTTGTTTAATAATTAATATTGTAAATAAAGTTTATTTTTTTATGGTTTTAAAGTTATCGAACGTAAACGTTTAATGTTTGAGACCTTTTAAGCTTGTGAAAGAAATGTATGCCGGATATAGTTCATGACTTTGTTGTTGTTTCAAAAAAAGTCGAAAAAAAGAAATCAGAAATAGATAATACCAACCTATGATTGTAAGTAATAAATTTAAGTGAGATTAGATTATAACCATCGGCTATTTAATATAGTAAACTGATTTATTTTTGCAATTTCCCCTTTGATATTTTGATTAGATTTTATACCCTTCAGTTACGTGAGAATATACGGGGCATAAGTTTATTATTTCGTTTGTAATTTCTACAAATAATGTATTTGGAAATCAGTTTTCAGAAGATCCCAGAGAGATCTGCGTGATCCGAATATTCAATAATTCTATTAGAAATGCTTCCGAAAAGAGCTCTACTTAAAATCAGCAAAATCGTTACAGAAATAACGAAGATAGGAACAAAATTCCGAAACAACCCATGAAAATATGTATTACCTTTTTTTATACCCTTCACCACCGTGTGAAGGGTATATATAAGTTTGTTATTCAGTTCATAATAACAAAATAAAATGTTGGGAACTTAAAAGGTACATACATATACAATATGTAACTCCTAATAGGAATCGAAGTCAGTTTAGCCATGTCCGCCGTCCAACTACGTAAACCCCCTTCTTCAGTTAAGTTTGTTTTCAAATGTCTGTCTGTCTGTTGAAATTTTCTGAAGACCCCACATATCTTTGGAACCTAAGTCTTCAATAATTCTATCTGACATGCTTTGGAATTTTCTATAAAATCGTACTTTTTGCTACTTTTCCGTTCTTCAAAAGGTACTTTTTAACGTTTCTATAATATTGAACCTAGAAAAATGAAATTATGTATGTAGAGCCCAGACTAAATCAGAACATCTAAAAGGATACTTTTTGGAACTTTTTCGTTCTTCAAAATGTATTTTTTTAATTTTCTATAATATTGAACCTAGAAACATATAACTAAGCATGTAGAGTCCGGAGTAAATAAGAATTTTTTACTTTTTCGTTCTTCAAAAGGTACTATTTGAATTTTCTATAAAAAGGTACTTTGGTACTTGGTACTTGAACCTAGAAACATGAAATTATGTATGTAGAGCCCGGAATAAATCAGAAGATCTAAAAGGGTACTTTTTGAAACTTTTTCGTTGTTCAAAATCTAATTTTTTAATTTTCTATAATATTGAACCGAGAAACATAAAACTCAGCATGTAGAGTCCGGAGTAAATAAGAATCTTTACTTTTTCGTTCTTCAAAAGGTACTATTTGAATTTTCTATAAAAAGGCACTTTTTGGTACTTTTTCGTTCTACAAAAGCTCCTTTTTGAATTTTCCATAATATTGAATCTAGAAACATGAAATTAAGCATGGAGAGCCCGAAGTAAGTGAGAACATATAAGTAGTATGTTTGAAGGGATTCCAGGCCACATTTAAATGAGAGACAAATGGGGACCTCTTGTTACTTTTTGCTTCTTTAAAGAGTACCTTTTGAATTTTTTATAAAATATTGAAACAACATATAATAACATTAAGAGCACTAAGTTAATGGAAATCTGTAGGAAAGGCTTTTTGGTACATTTTCGTTCTATGACAGTTACTTTTGGTTTTATGCATCTGCAACTGATTGAACGAAAATTTATAAGTGGGGACTTTCTGGTACTTGTACGTTTTTAACTAGGATTTTTTTGTTTTTGTTGCAATAAAAATCGTACGTGCAGGGTATATAAGATTTGGCATAGCCGAATATAGAACTTACTTGTTCTAATACTGAATTCGTTTTTTCAGAAACTGTAGCAGCTATTTAGCCACAAATCTTTTCTTTCGATCAGGGATTAGCATTAGTTAGTTAGTAGTTAGTTAGTTAGTTAGTTAGTTAGTTAGTTAGTTAGTTAGTTAGTTAGTTAGTTAGTTAGTTAGTTAGTTAGTTAGTTAGTAGTTAGTTAGTTAGTAGTAGTTAGTTAGTTAGTTAGTTAGTTAGTTAGTTAGTTAGTTGTAGTAGTTAGTTAGTTAGTAGTTAGTTAGTTAGTTAGTTAGTTAGTTAGTTAGTAGTTAGTTAGTTAGTTAGTAGTTAGTTAGTTAGTAGTAGTTAGTAGTTTGTTAGAGTTTGTTAGTTGTTAGTTTGTTAGTTTGTTAGTTTGTTAGTTAGTTAGTTAGTTAGTTAGTAGTTAGTTAGTTAGTTAGTAGTTAGTTAGTTAGTTAGTATTAATGTTAGTTAGTTTTATAGTTAGTTAGTTAGTTAGTTAGTTAGTGTTAGTTAGTTAGTTAGTTAGTTAGTTGTTAGTTAGTTAGATAGTTAGTAGTTAGTTAGTTAGTTAGTAGTTAGTTAGTTAGTTAGTAGTTAGGTTAGTAGTTAGTTAGTTAGTAGTAGTTAGTTAGTAGTTAGTTAGTAGTAGTTAGTTAGTTAGTTAGTTAGTTAGTTAGTTAGTAGTTAGTTAGTTAGTTAGTTAGTAGTTAGTTAGTAGTTAGTTAGTTAGTTAGTTAGTTAGTTAGTTAGTTAGTTAGTTAGTTAGTTAGTTAGTTAGTTAGTTAGTTAGTTGTTAGTTAGTTAGTTAGTTAGTTAGTTAGTTAGTTAGTTAGTTAGTAGTTAGTTAGTTAGTAGTTAGTAGTTAGTTAGTTAGTTAGTTAGTTAGTTAGTTAGTTAGTTAGTTAGTTAGTTAGTAGTTAGTAGTTAGTAGTTAGTTAGTTAGTTAGTTAGTTAGTTAGTTAGTTAGTTAGGTTAGTTAGTTAGTTAGTTAGTTAGTTAGTAGTAGTAGTTAGTAGTAGTTAGTTAGTTAGTTAGTTAGTTAGTAGTAGTTAGTTAGTAGTTAGTTAGTTAGTTAGTTAGTTAGTGTTAGTTAGTTAGTTAGTTAGTTAGTTAGTTAGTTAGTTAGTTAGTTAGTTAGTTAGTTAGTTAGTTAGTTAGTTAGTTAGTTAGTTAGTTAGTTAGGTAGTTAGTTAGTTAGTTAGTTAGTTAGTTAGTTAGAGTTAGTTAGTTAGTTAGTTAGTTAGTTAGTTAGTAGTTAGTTAGTTAGTAGTTAGTTAGTAGTTAGTTAGTTAGTTAGTTAGTTAGTTAGTTAGTAGTTAGTTAGTTAGTTAGTTAGTTAGTTAGTTAGTTAGTAGTTAGTTAGTTAGTAGTTAGTTAGTTAGTTAGTTAGTTAGTTAGTTAGTTAGTAGTTAGTAGTTAGTTAGTTAGTTAGTTAGTTAGTTAGTTAGTTAGTTAGTTAGTTAGTTAGTTAGTTAGTTAGTTAGTAGTTAGTTAGTTAGTAGTTAGTTAGTTAGTTAGTAGTTAGAGTAGTTAGTTAGTTAGTTAGTTAGTTAGTTAGTTAGTTAGTTAGTTAGTTAGTTAGTTAGTTAGTTAGTTAGTTAGTTAGTTAGTTAGTAGTTAGTTAGTAGTTAGTAGTTAGTTAGTTAGTTAGTTAGTAGTAGTTAGTTAGTTAGTAGTTAGTAGTTAGTAGTTAGTTAGTTAGTTAGTTAGTAGGTTAGTTAGTTAGTTAGTAGTTAGTTAGTTAGTTAGTTAGTTAGTTAGTTAGTTAGTTAGTTAGTTAGTAGTTAGTTAGTTAGTTAGTTAGTTAGTTAGTTAGTTAGTTAGTTAGTTAGTTAGTTAGTTAGTAGTTAGTAGTTAGTTAGTTAGTTAGTAACTTGATTTATAATCCTATATGTGATAAAAAGAACCTGATTTATTGCAAATGTAAATATTCAATCAAATTTCCCCATTTTCCAAAGTATACTTTGGAACTGACAAATGAAATCAAAATAATGATTCATCAATGTTTGAATAGGACATATTTTTTTATTATTAATAGATGTAAAAGTATGAAATTAGTTCAAAACTTTTACACTTTCATCTTATTAGATATTCGTTATACATACATATGATACGCTTTTGAAATTACTCGGAGAGTATTTGTCTCACTGTGATACTGTTAAAATAATTTATTTAATTTGTTCGATCTTATGAATGCCATGGTGAGAACTAAACTATTGTTTAACAAAGGCAAAATTTATTATCTTTTGCTATTTCAGTAATCAGTAATCTAAGCTGCAACAATTTTATTATCATTAACTATTTTATTTTTAAGTAAGTACTTGTTAAAATTTATTGACTTTCTTTCCGTTGTCGTATTACGTTCGTTATCAACGATTAGTTTTAATATATTGTCTTTGATTTATATTTGCATTGTTCGAATACCCTACGTTATAAGTAGGTAGATTGATTATTGGAAGAATTTTGTAATCAAAATAATGTCCGAAGTTCAAAATTTCAACATTTACTTTTTATACAATTTTTCCCATTATGTTTCCGAGATGCTAAAGTTTTCTTTGAAACCCTTTACTTTTAGTAATATTTGAAACGTATAATAGCCTGAAGACACTTTTACTTATAAAGTTGGTATGTCATCTGAAAGTCCAATCTGTCCATTTTAAAATAAAAGTTTAACATCCTTCTAAAGTTTGAATCGAAACTGATATCCTAATTATAAAGAATATTTTAAAAATGCTTAAAGACATAGTGTTAGCGTTAGTCTTTAATCTATGGCTTGCTATACTTGCTTCAGACCATTGTGGGCTTTACATGTGGCACGATCAGCGCATTTATACCGCTTCTCCACTTTGCCAGCAGGTTTTTTCTCCTTTAGAGAAACTTTTATTAAAAACACCACGTTTTGGAGAAAAAATATATTGGTTGTCACTGCTATAGAGTATTCTAAGGTCGTGGTTGAGTAACCATATTTTTTCTTATTTTATTTATTTATTATACGTATGTCTATATTTACCCAATACTGAACAAAATCCTCAACGATCATAGCTTTCCAAATTATGAATATTGATTTTTTCAATGAGTTCGATTTGAAGCGTCCACTTGAGCGAAAGTGGTTACGGGGTCTTTAAAGTAGTTTAAGTGACAATCATCCGGAATGACGGCGAAAATAGAAAAAGGTAGTTGTTAATACTCAGTGTTA